TAAAGTTAATCTGCCTTCTTGAATAGGCATTTAAAAATTTTCACTTCATTTCAAATTTGTAATTACTTTTATTTCCACAACATCGTCTACTCACATTTTCAATTCATCCTGAATCTTAATTGAAATCCTCTACTAAATGAGCTGTGATCGTGTAATTGATGTGTATGTCTTAAGCATATTTCCAATCGATTAGTTTTGATTTCCATTGATTGTGAATCTTGACCTGATGAATATGTTTAATTTAATATAAGGAATAAAGAAATTTTTAATTATATTTGGAAAAAACTCTACTTTGGTCACTTTATGGCCCTCAGCCTCGATTACTCTGATAGTTACGGATGGGTACTAATATGAAGACCAAAACTACCCCAATAAATTTACATTCAAGGCAAATAGCCCAAACACAGCCAAATACTTTTTGCGTATCACAGTGGAATTGATGAACAATTTCAAACCGATAGCAACGTGCTATACTATTAAAGTCTTACCTTGATAGGCGGTATGTCAAACTTGGGATGAGGACCACCGTTAGAGACATATCGGAAAACATCGTAAATCCAGACACCACCCTTGTTATTGCCGCTGAAAACAGCGCCTACACCAGGCCGAGCCTTGATAGTAACATAAATATCCTCCGTTTCTAACCATCGCAATTTGCCCAATACTTCCACAGTCATAGATTCAATATTAGGATTGAAAAGTTTGCTTACAACCTACAATTGAAGAATAAATAAATCCACAGAAGCTAGGCAACTTATTTTCAATTATTTGTTGAGATATATGTTAACCATCCTGGGGTGTGCGATAGACTTACCTCCACGTGGTGCACCCTGACAAGGGGTGTGCGATAGACTTACCTCCACGTGGTGCACCCTGGTGGGTGTGCGATAGACTTACCTCCACGTGGTGCACCCTGGGAAACGTATACTCATACGGTAAAAAGTCTATTAACCGGAAGTTTGTGTGCGATAGACTTACCTCCACGTGGTGCACCCTGGGCAGCGTATTTTCTTACGGCAAAAAAGTCTATCACTCGGCTTTCGTTATATTCATACGGCAAAAAGTCTATTAACTGGCAGTTAACTACGATAGACTTACCTCCACGTGGTGCACCCTGGGCAACGTACTTTCTTACGGCAAAAATTCTATCACTCGGCATTCGTTTTTCAATAGACTTACCTCCACGTGGTGCACCCTGGGCAACGTATAATCATACGGCCATACGGCAAAAAAAGTCTATTAACTGGCAGTTGACTTCTTAAAAAAGTCTATTATTCGGCAGTTGACTTCTGACTTCAAAGCGGCAAAAAAGTCTATAAACCGGCAGTTGACTTCTCACTATCGGCAAAAAAATTCTATTAACCGGCAGTTGACTTCTGACTTCAACGCAAAAAGGTCTATTAACTGGCAGTTGACTTCTCACTTCACAAAAAAGTCTATTTACCGGCAGTTGATTTCTGACTTCAAACTACCATGGCCCTACTGTATGCCATATTCGACCACTTTCACAGTACTCGTCTTACCCTTTTCTTTGCCTTTGTGTCTGTTTGCCTCTTTTACATCTGTGAATCGCTCTTCTCTTCCCCACCCCTCAACTTTCTGCTACTCTGATGAACCTTCCCTCTGTGAAGCCCGAAGTCAGCTAAATGGCAAATGATAGCTATCAAAAATAGAATGCACATAGTCGATGCTTAAGTTCAACCTCGAAATGCGAACGCACCTTTTACCTTAATTTACCCTAATGGAGTTACACTCAGTATTTTAGCTATGAATTTTGACTTTTAACTGCGTTGTTTAGGGAATTTAAGCCATTTTCGCATTTATCTTATTGGGAGAAGTCAATTTTCACACACAGGTCAAAATCATTTCAAGGGACGATGAGTTGATATTTTACTTCTCGAGGAGGGATATGGAGCCTGCCTGGTGGGGAAAATGACTGGTCTCACCCCCAACTACAAAGTTTAACCACCTTTGTTTGTCTCTCTTCCACTCACTGTGCGCGCCGATTGACATTGAAATGGCTACTGACCCTGAAGACGTGCATGTTTGTAACCGATTTAAATAAGTTTTCAACGCCCATCAGAAGAAATATTCGCACTTAACTTACCAGCACACAACTATTTTTATTAAGCTTTTGTATTCCTCTGGTTATGACAATCGTCATGTTATTAACTCCGAATGTATTTTTTTCCCTCCTCTGAAGATTGTAATTCTGCATAACAACGAAATCTTTGGGGCATGCTTCATCCACGTTTTGAGCACCAACTTTTGTATGTGGGCCGATGTGATGGTGGACAAAGTTTCTACCACTCTTCATCTGGATCAAAATAAGGATAAGCATGCTGCCTCCTCTGTCTCCTTCTACCTCCTCCCGGCTGTCTCGGAGTATTGTCTCCTCTCCGCCGCCCTGATCTACGAGATCACCGTCCGAATTGGCCAACCTAGTTACATTGAATTAGAAGATGAAGATGAGAGTGAAAATGGCAGTGACATTGAGGAGGATGAGTTTTCAGATGAAGGAATTTCTGACGATAGTGGAGAGACAGAGACGGATGAGGACCATAGGAGGAAGGGGAGTGCTGACACAACTACAGGGGATAGGGAGGCTACAGATCTGAGCAGCTCCAAATCGCCTACTCTTTCTGATCCAGAAATTGCTATCAAGAAGGTGAGGAGAAAGAGAAGTTCACCTGGAAGATCACTATCCAGGGTGCTTACTAAGCATATAAAAAAGGTGAGTTGATTACCTTTAGTATCTAACCCCTATGTAATCTAGCACCCCCAGGAAGGGACCAGTAGCTTCGGTTATACTGATTTCGAATATTAAAAGTTACCTAGGTTACTTTCCTTCCTCGATTTACTAGCTATACCACTATAGGTACTGTTATTAAGGTAGAACAGTGGAAAGGTTATGCTAGTAGCGACCATAAGACCTGGTTAGGCAGAAGGATTTGATAGAGAGAAAAACTCAATATTCAGTCAGCCATGTGATCGATGTATGGTGATATCGAGACGGGTTAAATCGATTATCGTCTGTGCGTAAGGTCCCTAAGTAAAGGCAGATTTATAGGTCAAACCTTCTTCCATATTACCTAAAGTAACTCTTATTCATCACACGATTGACAATTTTGATTCACCTAGTGTTGATTGTGTAAGATCCATCATTGTATAACTAGGATCAAATTAGTATAAATCTTCATTATGCTTAATGACCAATGTCTTTCAAATTAAGTTATGCGAATATTTGAATGAAAGTCTCGTTTTAGTGACCTAAGGCATACATCATGTAAACTGATAATAAGCGTAAAGATTTTTTTAAATATTCTTAACGCCGTTCATATTATTACTCGCAGGCATGACTAAGCAATAAACGTTCTAACGTGGTAAGCATTTAAAACACGTGAGAATACTTCTAATAATAGTGTGTAATGATATCCAATGAAAGAGGTAAAGCTTCATTAAATATGAGATTTCGTTGAAATGAAAGCCTAAGTGCATTTCAGACTTGGCTACCCGGCTCACTACGGGGTGTCAGAACGACTTGTCTTAACTCGACAAAGTCGATCATGAATATGTTAAACACAGTAATTCTGAGCTCCGTTTTTTCCGACTGCAGGATGAGAGTGATCACGAAGTGGAAATTAGTCATCCAAGCCTCAGGTAAAGTGAAAAAAGACACGGAAACACAAAACAGACAACATTATTATTATTATT